TGGTATTGGTGACCTCTATCAAGCTTTTTGAAGTTACTGTGGAAGGAACAACCTGTTTTTTTTTTTTTGGTCGGTGGTAGGGCCTGAACTCTGGATCTGGGGGCTGTCCCTCAGCTCATCAGCTCAAAGCTAGTGCTCTACCACTGAAGCCACAGCGCCACTTCTGGCTTTTTTTGCTTATATGGTGCTAAGGAATCAAACCCAGGGCCTTATGCATGCAAGGCAAGCACTCTACCACTGAGCCACCTTCCCAGCCCCAACACCCTTAATTTATTCAATAGGTGCACACACCTATAGTGTGAGCATTTCACAATCTCGCTGCAAAACTTAATTTTAGTCATGTATTGTGTGTCACCACCTGGCCTGGCTCCGAGCCGCACCCCAGCCCTCACCCCACACGATGCTGAGTTGGAACTTTCCACAGCACACCTCGGCTAGGGCAGCACACGCTGTTTCTGGCTCCTGACCTAAACTTCTCACAGATCTGCAGAAGGCACCTGTTCCCTGGTGCCTCCATAAATAAGGAAAATGCTTTCCTACGAGACGGTTCCAATAACTGTGTGTTCCTTGACGTCCTCTACAACGATCGCCATCTGCTCTCCCCGCATCTGCTGGAAAGAGCACCGTAACCATGTCATCCTGACAGGGCTGCTTGGAATCAGAGCCGTAGCTTCTTCCGTTTGGTTTGCTGGCTTTGCCTCCTGCTCTTCCTCCCCCCAGCCCACCTCCACGCAGCCACTGCGGGGGACATCTGGCATTGCTTTCTGCAAGTCATGGACCAGTTTCAAGGCGAGAATGTGGCATGCTGAGGGAGGAAGTGGGGGTCTTGTCCGGTGGCCTGTACACTGGCTTTCCTGATTGTTCAAGTAGAGGACTGAACAGCAGGTGCCCTCACTTTTTCTTTTAACTAGATTTGGCTGTTATTGTAAAGGTGATGTACAAAGGGGTTATAGTTCGGTGCCCCAACTTTAACTTTCAGTCTGAGTGACAGAGTTTCCAGGCTTTCCTGCAGGTCCCGCCTCCCCAGCCTTAGGCATTGACACAGCAACTCTTACTCACAAAGCATTCACAGGATGGCTTGTCTCAGGAAGATGTGGATGGCTCTGTCCCAAGTTTTACCTACCTAAAATAGAGGAGGGCTTCAGGCTCCTGATGATCAGGAGTTCAGAAAGGCCTTTGTGATGTTATTAGTCCCCACACCCAGTCCCATAAACAGTCTTCAAAGGAATAATAGCCCTTCCTTTTCCTTCCCCGTGTCCATCATCTGGTAATGACAATGGTAACACGGCAGACCCATACATACCCTTCCAAAAACGTCACAACTCAGTTTGAGAAGTACTTTCATAATGATAGTTGTTGATTGTTTCTTTGTTAAATTCACATTTTTTCCCAAAAAAACATATTTTAATCTTGCATTAAGGGACACCTCTAAAAATGTCCTGTGTAACTGGGTACCAGTGGCTGCCACCTGTAATCTTAGTTACTCAGAATGTTAAGATCTGAGGATCAAGGTTCAAAGCCAGCCAGAGTAGAAAAGCCATGAGACTCTTATCTCTGTTTAACCAGCAAAAAGGCAGAAAGGGAGATGTGGCTCGAGTGATAGAACACCAACCAGCATTCAACAAAAAAAACAAAACAAAAACCAAAAAACTAAGGGAGAACTCAAGGCATTGAGTTCAAGACCTAGTATGGGCACCAAAGAGAGAGAAAGTTCTAATTAATACTCATCCTTCCTCAGTCTTTCTCTTCCTCAATCATACAAAGCTTTCCTTTATATGACCCAGGGAGTCAAAGCAAGATTACATTTCAAGTGTATTTTTAGAAATTATTTATTTCAAACATTTGCGATTTTCACTTAACACATAAAATCAGTGGCAAATAGGAAAAGCATTGCAAGAACACAAACTGACTATACAGACATAATCCTTTGCTATTTGCTTTCAGATAATTGGGGGGAGAAAGGGGAACCGTAAAAGTATGATTTGTCTCCAACAAAACAAGGTAGAGTTGAGGTATCCTATTTAACAGATGTGATCTCAATCCAGTGAGGTCTCTGTTAATTACCAGCTTGCTACATGCTGTTCCGGTCCTTCCTTCAAAAGTAGATGTGTGAACATATTTTCACAAACTTCATAGTATTCTTTAATAGTGGCAGAGGTTGTCACAGACACTCCCTAGACCTAGCACCCGGCCACATTGGGAACACAAGCCTGTCAGGACCTTCAGGAGACACTTGGGAGTACCTGGCACAGCACCTAAACCAGCTGACCCAACTTCTCTAGCGAGAATCCCACTGCAGACTATGGCAAGGGAAAGGATCGTGGGTTGCCCAGTCTTTCTAAATGACGGTCAATTTCTCACCAACTCTCCTGGAGAGCCAGTGCAAGAATCATGTGCAAGTGGGTCAGCCATGGTAAGGACCTGTGATGAGAGGATACAGCCCAACCCAGAAGAAGCCAGGCAAGACATTCCTGAAGGTTTCCAAGAAATCCACAATCTATGACCAGTCCCAGCCTGCCCATCTGGGCTCCACCAACCTGGCTCCCCACCGAGTCACCGCAGCAGATTCCACACCTTGCCTTGATGACCTGTTTTCTATCTCCTGAAACAGCAGGGAGGTGGTAGAGAAACTCAGGGCAAGGTCAGAGCCCTGCTGGCCAGCTAAACAAAGCACTGTGATCCAAGGTCTTGTATGCAAATCCTATGCCATTCTGAAATGTTTTTAAAAAATATTCTATTAATGCTACAAGAATGAACAACCGCTTTAGATCTCGATCCAGCATATCTTTTTTCTATTTTACCCACCTGACAGTATAGGTGATCATGTTTAATCTGAGCTCTGCCCCAACATTCCACATCTGGTTGTGTGGTGATGGCTATAGGTGTTAGTGAGGGACAGTGCTGTTGAAGGTACGAGGCTACTCTTGGGCTGCAGAAAATCAGGTCGAAGTGAGATGCAAGTTCGCTCACTGGAGATTTTTCAGGGCAGAGAAAGCTTACAGCATATACCTGTGCCAGGCCTGAGCCCAGAAAAGACAAGAGACTTTTTCTTCATTGACACTAGCTTATAAGAAATTAAGGGGGGAAAATGTCTTCTCTCTCTTTCTATCTCTCTCTCTATATATATTAAAAGCAGTTTCATTACAATAATAATGAAAGCAGTCTCAATTTGGAGATCAAAGCTGCCTAGTTCTCAGACATCATGAGCTATCTGTTTTCACATCTTCCACTACTCAGCAAGACTCTGCCTAGCTTTGGTAATAAGTGGGTAAAACCATGTAAGGAATTAGAGATCTTTTGGCACAGAACCACCTTGACTCACGCAGGTCCCCACTTCTAATATTTCTCTTTCACAGCGTTTTTTTTTGCTGTTCTCAAGAAACTAGAGGAAAAACATGAACATCTGCTTAGCTTATTTTTTGCGGGGGGGGACTGGGTGGGGTTACTGGGGTTTGAACTCAGGGCTTCACATTTACTAAGCAGGTGTTATACCACTTGAGTCATGCATCCAGTTCCCTTTTTGCTTTGATAATTTTTGAGATAGGGTCTTTGAGTCCCACATCCCTGCCTGACCTAGACTGTGATTAATTCTTCCAAGTAGCTAGAATGACAGGTGCATACCGCCATACCTAGCCTTTTCTGTTGAGATGGAAGTCTCTTGAACTTTTTTTGCCCAGGCTGGCCTAGCACCATGATACTCCCAATCTCTGCCTCCCCAGTAGCTACGATTACAGGCATGAGCCACCGATACCCAGCCTTGCTTCACTTTGAACAACTTACTAAGACAGCAAGGGGAACCTAAAACATACAGAACCAGCGATGGAACTCACTACTTGCTTAAGATAGTAATGCCTTGAACGTGGCAAACAGCAAACAAACTACGGTGGCTTTCATCCCCTGCCGCCTGCCTGGTGGTGACGGTGTTGTTAAAATGGTAAAAGATGAGGAAAGCTTTGTGGGCTGGTGAACCTGGAGTCTGTGGCTGCATTGTTCATTCTGATCCCAGCTCCACTCTCCGTCCGAGTGACCGTGAACCTCGATGAGTCCTCAAAGTCCCAGCAGAGAAGTCACGTGAGGTGGTCAGTCCCTTGATGAGTGCTTTCAGGGACTGTGTAAAAGAGCCTGACTCAAGAAACTGTGTAAAAGAATACAACTGAAGGGACTACATAAAAAGGAAGGCACCAGGGTAGGGGATTTTCTAATAAACTTTCCCTCTGGTAACAGGGTGCCTAGGCCCAGGGGTGGGGAATTTCTAAGAGTCTGCCCAGTACTAGTGGGAGGCATGAAGACAGGAAGTTGGACACCCTTTCCTTCCTAACTATCCCTGGGGGTTAGGGGAGAGGGCAGTTACAGTTGATTTTTTTTTCTAAAGCAGGGAAAAAGCAGCTTATTTCTGCACTTTTAAAAGGCAAAAACAAAATAACAAGAAACCAGGTGCCAGTGGCTCATGCCTGTAATCATAGCTTTTCAGGAGGCTGAGATCTGAGGATCACAGTTTAAAGTAGCCAGGGAGACTCTTACTGCTAATAAACGGCCCCACCCCCAATAGAAAGCTGACATGGAGCTGTGACTCTAGTGGTAGAGCACTAGCCTTGAGCAAAAGCTCAGGGCCAGCGCCCAGGCCCTGAGACCAAGCCCTAGGACTGGCACAAAAAAAGAAACAGAATCCAGAATCTTTTCTCTCATAGCGAAACTATTTTTTTTCTCCTCCTGTCTCACTTGCCTTGGTATTGTACTAGAGGAAATTACTGTGTTCCTCCCCTGTGGTAAATGAATGTAGGGTCTTCTAGCATCTCAAAACAGTAGGTTTTTAAAAAAAAATCAAAGTATATCCTTGCTTAGTTAATTTTTCCTTTCACATGAATATCACTCTCCTAGTTGCTCAGGTCCAGCTGAAATCAGAATCAACCACCTCTGCAGTGGATCGATTTTGCTGTCTGTACTGGCAGAGGCCTCCTCCAGCCAGCCCACCTTGAGGTTGTTTGGGGAGACTGAGAACATTGGTTTTTCAAGGCTCTGCTCTCCCCTTTCAGCTACCACAAAGAATCACAATCCTAACTCCCCAACTTTTCCCTCCCAGAGTCCTGAGATCTACAGAGGGAAATGCTTCTCTAATCAGCAAATGCCTAGGGTTATCATTCACATTTAGCAAAATGCAAATGAGGAACTAATTATGATTCCACTTCAAACCATCAGGCCCTGAGATATTATTCATGGAACTTTCCCTACCCCACCCGCTGTGTGTTTTTCAAGTGTGGAGAAGAAAGGCAGGAAAGAGCTTCCTCCCCAGCCTCTGAGACTTATACATAGCCATCCTCAGGCCTCCACAAAACAGAATGGCAAAGACACTTGTGTGGTGAGTTCGAGCCAGAAGATTCAGCTTCGCAGTGAACCATGGGATGGGCAAATGGATGACCTTTTGGCTGGAATGCCATCCTCCTGCTGAGGGTGTAGCTTGTGGGGTGTGTAGGGGTGACCAGCAGCTCCTCCACACCCAGTGTCCAATGGAGACTCCACATAGCTCCCTGGGTTCCATATGACATCCCGAAGCAGAGCATTTGGGAAGGGAGGCTTGAAAACTCAAGCGTCTCCGCAAGGCTCTTCTGAGACAGTAAGGCTGAAGCCTCCACCCTGAGATGAGCAGGAATGGCAGTGAAGGGCCCTGAGCTGAACCAGCTGGTGCTGTCATCCAGACAACTATCTGGGGAAGAAGCAGTCTCTGTTGCCCATGTCATAAGCGCTCTGTGGGTTCCTGGCATCTGGTTGGCTGTGGCTCAAAGTGCTGAGGGACCCAGGATGGCCGGTGGTCATTGGTGTGGCGAGGAGAGGAACAAGCACAATGGGAGGCTTGGGTTGCTCCAAGGAACATGGCCGCTGAATGCTCGCCTTGTCTTCTTTCAGAATCTGTGACTTCCATGTCCTCCTGAGCCTTGGCACGCATGCGCACGTACAAACACACACACACACACACACACACACAAAGACAAACCAGAGAGGTTAAGTTCCCTTTGAGATGAACCCACAGTGAAAAACACCAACAGCTGGTAGCCCCAGTGGCCTGGCACTCACAGCTCAGCTCAAAGCAGTGGGGACTACTCATCCAATCAGCAGAAGTTCCACAATCTTCCTAATGGCTGGTGAGTTTCACAAACACCCAGGAGAAAATATATATCTGCTGTTGGGCCAATTTGTAAGAGGGAAGGTGTGGGGGAGAGGGGGATGTGTGTCCCTTCAGAGCATTCAGAAGTCCCCTGACAGTCCCTTAATTTGTCCTGTTCCAGAGGCTGCCTATTAGGTACACATCAGCAGTTCCAAATCCATTTACTTAAAAGGAAGAAAGAAAGAGAGAGAGAGAGAGAGGGAGGGGGAGGGAGAGAGAGAGAGGAAGAAAGGAAGGAAGGAAGGAAGGAAGGGAAGGGAAGAAAGAAAGAAAGAAAGAAAGAAAGGAAAGGAAAGGAAAGGAAAGGAAAGGAAAGGAAAGGAAAGGAAAGAAAAGAAAAACTGTTCTGGTAGCCAGGATAGAAAATGGGTCTCTCGGGCTGGGAAGGTGGCTCAGTGGTAGAGCGCTTGCCTTGCATGCCTGAGGCCCTGGGTTTGATTCCTCAGCACCACATAAGCAAAAAGAAAAAAGCCAGAAGTGGCACTGTGGCTCAAGTGGTAGAGCGCTAGCCTTGAGCTGAAGAGCTGAGGGACAGCGCGCAGGCCCAGAGTTCAGGCCCCACAACCGGACCCCCCCCCCAAAAAAAAAAAAGAAAGAAAATGAGCCTCTCAAGTCAAATGAAGGCTGGCAGGAGGCAGATCATCACAACCAGGCCTTATCGGCAGGGACAGCGCTGCTGAGCACCTTCCACCGCACTCCTCTCCTCTACTCTCAGAGTCCACCTTGGCCCAGGAAGCCACCCAGCAGTGACAGGCTCACACTCAAACATGGGCACCATTGGGCACACATTGACTTAGCTGGCAGGAAAGGCAAGGTTAAACAGGAAGGAGATAGACATCTCTCTGTACTAAACTCTGGGCCCAAAGCCAGGACTCAGTCACCGAGCAGTCAGTTGACAGCTCAAAGAAAGATGAGATGGTGATATCCATCTTCAAATGTACAGTCAGGTCTCCTTCCTGAAGGGGTGGCGGGGGCTTGGACAAAGTGTGCTGAGAGAGGCAGCCAGCCAGGGCCTCCCTGCCTCCTTTTTGTTTCCCCTGTGGTGCTCAACTTGCTGCCTACTATCCCAGAACAGAGAGTGAGTGAGCTTGGTGGCCTCTCCTCTCTCCTCCATCCCACCAAATCCCAGTTACTTGCCTGGTGCTAGTGACTCACGCCTATAATCCTAACTGCTCAGAAGGCTGAGATCTGGTGATCTAGGTTTGGGGCAGGAAAGTTCATGAGACTCTTATCTCCAATAAACTACTCAGAAAACGGGGGAACTGATATTGTGGCTTAAGTCACAGCATGCTAGCATTGAGCAAAAGGAGCGCAGGGACAGAGCCCAGGCCCAGAGTTCAAGCCCCATGACAAAAAAAAAAAAAATTTAAGCGAGTTGAGCATTTTCTTTTGGCTTCTTTTTATATCAGCAGGCTATTCCTGTCCTTGTTATGATAAATAATTGATAGCTGGCTCCAAATCTGCCATTGGCACTGTACCTGCTATTGGCTTTTTGCCTGTTATCCAATGGAATAAACAATCTGGGGAGTGTTACTTAGGGTTTGGCCATTTGGAAACCTCACAGGAAGGCAGCCCCACAGGGGTGCTTACTGGACCTCCGTCCCCCCCACTCGCCCAGTCCCCACCTCCCAGTCTTTGAGTGAAGCTCTCCTCCTCTGTAAAAAGACCAAGGGTACACTACACTCAGGATTGTGAAATATTCTCACTCTCTGACCCAGGAACTCCTAGGAATACACTCTAAAGAAATAAGAGCAAGGAAAACGCTTTGAGTACAAAGATGTTCGATGCAGTGTTATTTATAAAAGCGAAATATCCAAATGCCCAAATATGAGGAGTTTGGTTAAGTGAACTTGGATACATGTCCCTACTAGAGGAATCTGTTGCTAATATAAGTGAGGTTTATAAATTCTATGGGGAAAAAAATGCTTGTGTGAGAATGCTAAATTTAAACAGTAGGATTCAGAGTTCTGAATAATCATGGCTAAGTCAAACCAAACAAGAAACTTAGGCAGAAAAAAAAATAACCCTAAATACTGTCTTTGATCCTGCTATGTTCATTTTGTACAAATCCACATGTGTTTACCTTTATGCATGTGTCCTTTTCTGTATGTTTGTTAAACTCTAACCACACTTACATTTTAAGAATTAATGGTGGGAGTCTCTAACTCTCATTTCCTGAATAAGAAGCAGAGAATGTTTCTTTCTCCTATTTCTCCCTACTTTAACTTTGCTAAACCAAAATATATCCTTGCTTACACTTAAAAAAATTAACAGTGGCCATCTTTGAATAATGCTTTTCTATTTGTCAATATTTAGCAAATTACCTATAATAATCACATACAAATGTGCATGCAGGCATACACACACACAACGCACACAAACCACAATCTCTACTGAGTTGTGGGGGTTTTTTGTAGGTCATGGGCTTGAACTCTGGGCCTGGGCACTGTCCCTCAGCTCTTCAGCTCAAGGCTAGTGCTCTACCACTTGAGCCACAGCACCATTTCCAGTTTTTTCTGCTTATATGGTGCTGAGGAATCGAACCCAGGGCCTCACGCATGCGAGGCAAGCACTCTACCACTGAGCCACCTCTACCAATATTTTTAACCAAGATGAAACTATCTCTGCCCTCAGTTATTGTTGTTGTTGTTGTTTTAATAGCTGGAGGGGAATGGAGAAAGGTGAGCTTTCCTCTTGAGATATTTTGAGAAGAGAACCCCCTTCTGAAAATCCTAAATTCAAAGACACCCTTGAGACCAGCCAGAGGCCAAATACACTTCCTCATGGTACAGGTGGGTATGAAAAAGTGATACCCGGGCTGGGAAGGTGGCTCAGTGGTAGAGCGCTTGCCTTGCATGTATGAGGCCCTGGGTTCGATTCCTCAGTACCACATAAGCAAAAAGAAAAAAGCCGGAAGTGGCGCTGTGGCTCAAGTGGTAGAGCACTAGCCTTGATCTGAAGAGCTAAGGGACAGTGCCCAGGCCCAGAGTTCAGGTAAAAAAAAAAGAAAGAAAGAAAGAAAGAAAAAAAGAAAAAGAAAAAGTGATACCAGAGTTTAAACTCAGGGACTCAAACTTGCTAAGCAAGAGCTCTGCCACCCGCTTATCCCTCCAGCCCTTCTTTGCTTTTTTAATATTTTTCCAATAGGGTCTGATACTTTAAAAAACAACAAAAACAAAAAAAGCTGGGCAGGCCTCAGATCATGATTCTCCTACCTATGATTCATGACTAGCTGGGATTCTGGGCGCAGGCCACCATGCCTAGCTCTCAATAGCTTTTTCTTGACAAGAGGGATTTGAGAACTAGTGGAGTTTTTCTTTTGAAATGAGTCTCTCTAAATAACTTTACCAAATACAAAAGAAAATGGAAACTCACCAGGCTAAGAAATAAATTGCTGTAGCCGGGCACCGGTGGCTCACACCTATAATCCTAGCTATTAGGAGGCTGAGATCTGAGAATCATAGTTCAAAGCCAGCCCAGCCAGGAAAGTCGGTGAGACTCTTATCTCCAATAAAACCACTAGAAAACTGGAAATGGCACTGTGGCTCAAGCGGTAGAGCACTCGCCTTGAGCTGAAGAGCTCAGGGACAGCGCCCAAGCCCAGAGTTCAAGCCCCACAACCAACAAAAAAAGAAAAAGAAATAAATTGCTGATACATTTTCTGGGGTACAGGGCATTTGTTCTGTGCTGCAGAGAGTCTGGTTGTTTAGCAATCAGCCAGCGTCCAAGCATCATTAGCAGGTAAGCAAACTTGGCTCTGACACTTCTCTGTCAGTGGTTAATAGCCCACCCTGATGGAGCTGCTGGCTAAGAGACCACGGTGAGACCTTGCTGGGCCCTATCTTAGCCAGGCTAATAGCAGGCTGGCGCCTTGGCAAGGCTCTCGAGGATGTGCTCCAGCCTGGGTCTTGGTTGTACTTGGGCAAGCATTTTACTTGGCCTGTTCCCTCATTTGTCAATTAAAGAATTTAACTAAATGATCCATAAGGCCCCATCCATAGATTGTGAGCTTTGGGGTTGAATCTTGGCCTTGTTCTTACTAATAACAACCCTTTCAAGTTTTAATTTCTTCATCTGACAAACAGAAGCCATCTGACATCCACTTCTGTAGCTATATAGTAGATTCCAAGCAAAGCCTGTTGAAGAAATAATGCAGAAATAGAAGCAAAATGCTGAAGTGTGGGCCCATGGTAAAGTGAGAAATCCCTTCCCAGGCAGGGAATGGCTCCTTTATTACTTCATTGAAAATCAGGCTGGGTGCCAGGGGCTCACGTAAGAAGATTCCCACCCCCACCCCCCCACTCTCCAGTCCTAGGGCTTGCACTCAGGGCCTGGGCACTGTCCCTGAGCTTCTTTTGCTCATGGCTAGCACTCTACCACTTGAGCCACAGTGCCATTTCCTGCTTTCTCTGTTTATGTAGTACTAGGGAATCAAACCCAGAGCTTCATGCATGCTAGGCAAGCACTCTACCACTAAGCTACATTCCCAGCCCAACCTAAGACTCTTATCTCCAATTAATTAGCAAAAAAGCCAGAAATGGAGAAGTGCCCCAAGAGGTAGCTCACCAAGCTCTCTCCTCATCCGATCAGCTGACTTCCTCCTAAAGTGTCAGTCTGTTCTCCTTCCTACCACTGCTCTGTTGAAGCTTGACCACTCCTGCAAATTACCTCTCCACATCTGGCTTCCTCTCTAGATGGTACTGTCTCCTACAGCCCCTGAAACAGGTGCTGTGTGTTACATGTGTTATATGTATGCTTTTGCTGAGCGAGGAAATGAATGAGCAAATACTCTGCAAATTTTGATGACCAGATGTGCAAAGGAAAACTAAGAAATACAAGAACAGAACAGAGCCGCCTCCCCTCCCCCAGCCTGTCCCCCACAGCCCATCTTACCTCAGGATAATGCCAATACAGAGGAGGGACCCAAACGCCAGGCTGCCTCCAGCCGCCAGGAATGTGGGCAGTGATGAGGAAGAAGAATCTTGTACTAGGAAAGAAAAAAGAAAGGAAGGGGGAGGAGGAGGGGGGGGAGGAGAGGGAGAGAAGGGCACTCAGCTGGCTGTGGAAAGCCTCACAGAAGCCCCTCCCACCCCCAACAGAAAACAGCTCAGGTAAATAGCAAAAAGCTGCCAGTTTTCTGGCCAGAACCAGCTCTAGGATCGCTCCAGCACAATCAGGCAGAGCCCAGGATTCCACTTCTTGGTGAGACATACACCTCAAGCTTCGTTTCTGAGTTCCTGTGGTCAGCCACAGACGCCCACTGACTTTCAGCATGGCTTTCCTGGTGGTGGCATGTAGTCTGCCCCCACAGGCACAGGACCAGGGGAGCACCAAAAATAGAAGGTTCTGGGGACTTCTTGATTGCAGTTCCATTGAGGGCCATGCCAAAGAGGCTCAGAAACTTTCAATCAAGTGTTTGTGCATTGGGATGTCATCTCTTGCCTGTCCTCCACCACCCCTCAGCTTGGTCCTCAAGCCCCAGCCATTGAATTTCTCTTGGTTATTGGATGTGCCACTGGCCCTTTCCCTCAGAGTTCCCCTCCCACTGCCCCCCTTCTCTCCCAAAATGACCTTCCCATCTTTGCTGTCCAGTTTTGACTCTGCCATTTTTTTTTTTTTGTCTCTGAAGAGGTGAGGTCACCTGCTCCAATCTGGGCAAGTGTTCCTTGCTATTCCCCCAGTTCTTCCTCTAGTCTGACTCTCGTAAAGCAGAGGTCATGTGGGCCTTTCTCACTATTATACTCCCAAACTGCTCCAAGAGTGCCTTGCATAAAGCTGGTCCTTCAAAACATCTCATCAAACAGAAGGAAGATCAATCTAGCTTCCTTAGTAGCCATGTCTCTCCCGGGCAATGCCCTTTTTACAACTGTTGACCTGGGCATAAGGGACATTTAAGCAAAACCATCATTCTCACTGGCTTGGTGAGAAGTCATGGTGGACCCAGGACTCAGGCTCTTCTTTCCCTAAAGGCAACCACTGTGGTTGTGATGCCACCAGCCCCTGCTGAAGCCATGAATGAACCCAGACTGGCAAATGACTATGGGCCACAGGGTCAGTCTCTTCAAGGGTATCCCACATCTTGATGGAAATAGCAGGATGTTTATTGGATTTTTTATTAACATTTCATTCTCTTTTATACCTATCCCTTTATTCAGTAAATATTTATTGGGTATCTATCATGTGTCAGGCTTTGTTTGAAGCCTCAAAAGTGCAAAAAGAGGACAAAGGATATAGGGAAACTCAAGCATCTTTCTCCACAGCTGCCTTTGGATGCCCTATCTCCTGTCACATGCCATTCAGGGCCCATTTCAAATGGCACCAGCTGGCTGTGCTCTCTCAATCCACCTTGCTTTATCCCCTTTTTGCTACAGCTACTAGTCTACTGTGCCCAAGGCTGCCCACAGCACAGCATACTTCCTGAGAACAGGGATGGACCAGGTACTGAGTCCCTAGCTGTGCCAAGCTCAGTCCTGAGTATTTAGCAGGTACTTCCTAGATGTTCAATACCACAACAAGGCTGTGCATCTAGTAGGCACTGCAGGTGAAAGGCTGAGGTATGAACAGGAATCTGCAACATAACCAAGCTGGGACTTCCTCAAGCTTGAGCGGCATCAGCTGTAGCTGCTCAAGTACTGAACTCTGAAGTCAGGACTCCATGTTTATTCTGAGTAAAACAAACACAGAACCTATGACCTTCTCTCTATCTCTCTGTCTGTGTCTCTCTGTCTGTCTCTGTCTCTCTGTCTCTCTGTCTGCCTGTCTGTCTGTCTGTCTGTCTCTCTCTCTCTCTCTCTCTCTCTCTCTGTCTGTCTCTCTTGCCAGTCTTGGGGCTTAAAGTCAGGACCTGGGCACTGTCCCTGAGCTTCTTTTGCTCAAGGCTAGCACTCTACCACTTGAGCTACAGTGCCGCTTCTGGCTTTTTCTGTGTATGTGGTACTGAGGAATCAAACCCAGGGCTTCATGTATGCTAGGCAAGCACTCTACCACTAGGCCAGATTCCCAGCCCCATGGCTTTTCTGGAATAAAGGTTGGTAAGCTTTCCTGGTTTTGTGGGTTATAAGAAATGAGAAGCATTGGGGCTGGGAAGGTGGCTCAGTGGTAGAGCGCTTGCCTTACATGCATGCATGAAGCCCTGGGTTCGATTTCTCAGCACCACATAAGCAGAAAAAATTTAAAAAAAAAAAGACAGAAGTAGCACTGTGGCTCAAGTGGTAGAGTGCTAGCCTTGAGCTGAAGAGCTGAGGGACAGCGCCCAGGCCCAGAGTTCAGGCCCCATGACCGGATCCAAAAAAATAAATGAGAAGCATTGGAATTGAAGGCACCCAAATCAGAAATTCCCCTTAATGATTTTCCAGTTCAGATTCCTGAAATTAGGCATACATTATACTCATTTGTTTTGTAGGCCAATTGCCAAATAACTTCACTGATTTATCCCATTGGCCCCTCACTATATTTTAGCACACAATATCATGCTTAAATAGGTCACTGGTAGGCTCACACCTGTAATCCTAGGTACTCAGAAGGCTAAAATCTGAGAATTGTGGTTTGAGGCCAGTCTGAGCAAGAAAGTCCATGAGACTGTTATTTCTAATTAACAATCCCCCCCAAAAAGCCAAAAGTGGAGCTGTGGCTCAGTGTAAAAGCACAAGCATATTACTAAGGGACAGTGCCCAAGCTTTGAATTCAAAGATAGATAGATAGATAGATAGATAGATAGATAGATAGATAGATAGATAGATAGATAGATAGATATCAAGCTTAAGCATATAAAGAAATATTGTTGCTATTAATCCTTGGCCAACTGTCCAAAGAAGAGATTTTCTGCAAACTCCAGAAAAACTTTCTACAGGATTCCAACAATTTCCAACCCTTACCTGGGAGGCTTGTTGCTTTTGGAGAACTCCTGTTGGCATCTTCCTCTTCCTCAGCAGTGGTCTGAGAGAGAGAGAGAGAGAGAGAGAGAGAGAGAGCGCTCATCCCAGGCCTGGCTCTACATAGTTCTCCATCATTCAGACCCAGCCTGATGTCACTTCCTCCTCAAAGCTTCCCTGCCAGAGCATTCTTTCCTCACAAAACTCCCACTATCACCGTTATTTGCAATATCTGTATCCTCACTTGCTAGAGGTAGCTTCTGTCTGTTTCTCCACCAAAAGCTGGAAGGCACAACCCCCCTCCCCATCCCCACCCCACACACACTGGGTGTTCAGCAATTACCCTTTTAGGTGGTGCTTCCATGCAGGTACTAACACTTACCAGCATCCAACCTCTGTGACCTTGGGCAGATTTCTGAGCCCATGGGGGCCTCAGCTCTGCTCCTTTGTGGAATCATGTGAGGACTGACTGAATGAGAAGGGTTGAAAATTGAGCCCATAAAAAAATGCTTGCCTGGGCTAGGAATATGGCTTAGTGGTAGAGTGCTTGCCTAGCATACATGAAGCCCTGGGTTTGATTCCTCAGTACCACATGCACAGAAAAAGCCAGAAGTGTGCTAGAGTGCTAGTCTTGAACAAAAAGAAGCTCAGGGACAGTGCCCAGGCCCTGAGTTCAAGCCCTAGGATGGGCAAAATAAAACAAAACAAATGCTTGCTTATCAAGTGCAAAGCTCTGAGATCCATCCTCAGCCTCAGAAGCAAGAGAAGAAGAGGAGGAAGACGGAATAAGATGCCTGGCTCAGAGTTTTACAGGTGGACCAGGCCTCAGTGGAGGTGTCGGTTCCCCTAGGAGCTGTACTGGGAACTCTCTAGCCTAAGGGCATGGCTTTCACTGGCAGCTGTGCTGAAGTTGCCTGGATGAGCTTTCGGAGCCCAGGCTCCCTTCTCTGTGCTGCCCAGCTCCCAGAATGGCTTAGCATTGAGGGAATTAAGGACCATGGTAGGAGATATAGTTGGATGGAAAATTGGATTACTCAAGGAATTTGTTAAGCAGCTTCCGAGGTAATCCTCTTTCCAGCAAATTATACCAGGCATCCACAGGGGAAAGACTCGGATAAAGTGCATCTGTTGAAAGCAAAGGCATTACATCATGTCCAAAAGGCCCAGAGATGCAGCAGTAGCTAGACACCGGGCAATTCAATGTGTCAGACAGGGCTGCTCCATGCTCTCCAGGCCCCAGCATGGAACAGCTATATCCCTGCACAGATACTTGGGGAGGATAGAAGATTTGCCTCTCAGCAGAGCTGGGATGGACACCCAATTCTGGTCACCCGTCTGGTGACACCCACACTCCTAACAACCAAGCATGGCTACCCTGACCCTTTTACAAGAACATGGGCTCACCTGCATGGCAGGGTACAGAGTCACAGCTGGAGTACTCCTGGATTCTGCAGATAGAAAGAAGGGTCATCATTATTAAGTCATGGATCCTAGAGTCTTATCAGATGGGCTCCAAAGCAGAATAAAGATCATCACAATGTTGTTGTTGTTGTTGTTGTTTGTTTGTCAGTCATGGGACTTGAACTCTGGGCCTGAGTGCTGTTCTTCAGCTCAAGGCTAGTGAACTACCACTTGAGCCACAGCACCACTTCCGGATTTTTCTGTTTATGTGGTGCTAAGGAATCGAACCCAGGGACTCATGCATGCGAGGCAAGCACTCTACCACTGAGCCACCTTCCCAGCCCCACAATGTTATTTTTTTTAAACCTAATGCTATCTGTGTGTGGGTGGCTCATGCCTATAATCCTCGCTACTCAGGAGGCTGAGATCTGAGGATTGAGGTTCGAAGCCAGCCCAGAGAGGAAAGTTCTTAAGACTCTTATCTCCAATTAAGCACCAAAAAATGCTCTAAATGGGATTTGGCTCCGGTGGTAGAACACCAGCCTTGAGAGAAAAGGCCAATCAGGAGTGCAAGGCCCTGAGTTTAAGCCCCAGTAACTAGCTGGCACCAAAAAAATAAATAAAAGCCTGATACTGGAAATAACTAAAGATTTCCCTAAGGCACTAGCTATACAAATAATAATAGAGCCATATAATGTAGTAGCCTTGAAAACTATTTTGCACAATGTTCACAATCATCAATACATCACATTGGGCCAGACATAGTGGCACTACTTGGGAAGCAGAAGCCAGATGGTCATGATTGCAAAATTAGTGAGAAGCTATCTAACAATGAAATACAAACAAAAGAGCTGAGGGGAAGGGAAACATGGCTCAAGAGGTAAAATGCTTGCCTGGCATGTGCAAGGCCTCAGGTCAACAAAATTAGCAAGTCCACATCTTACTGTATTCATATAGAGGTCCAATTATTATGTGTCAGTTAAAAGTAAAATCAAACTAGCTGGGTACATGTGGCTCACAACTATAATCCTAGCGACTCAGGAGGCTGAGTTCTATGGATCACAATTTGAAGCCAGCCTGGGCAAGAAAGTTCATGAGATTCTTATTTTCAACTGACTACCAGAAAACCAGAAATAGTGTTGTGGCTCAAAGTGGTAGAGCCCTAGCCTTGAGCAAAAGAGCTCAGAGACAGTGCCCAGGACCCAAGTGCAAGCCCCATGACTGACCAAAAAGAAGTGCAAGATTAATCTGGGTTCTGGCCTTTAATCCTTGCTACTCAGGAGGCTGAGATCTGAGAATCATGGCCCAAAGCCAGCCCTTGCAGGAAAGTCCGTGAAACTCTTATGTCCAATAAACTACTCAAGCTGTAAGTGGCACTGTGGTTCAAGTGGTAGAGCGCTAGCCTTGAGCAGAAGAGCTGAGGGACAACACCCAAGCCCTGAGTTCAAGTCCTAGAACTGGCAAAAAAAAAAAAAGTAAGACAAAAAGTCTTTATATGTTTCTAAAGAAACATTTATTTAGCTATTTATGTGGTGGTACTAGGGTTTGAGCTTAAGGCCCTGTGTTTGCTAGGAAGGTACTCTACCAACTGAGCCACACCTCCAGCTGGTTATTTTTCAGATTAGGTCTTACACTTCTGCATGGGCCAGACTGTGATCTTTCTACCTCTACCTCCCAAGAAGCTAGGGCTACAGGCATATACCACTATGCCGAGTACTATATTATTTTTATCTATTGTATATTTTACTATATGTATTCATACATAGGATAGAAGATAGAAGGACCCTCATCACCAGATATAAGCACTATTAACAATTTCATTTCCTTCCTTTCACCTTGTGCAACAAAAATATATAACATAATCAGTGACTCCTTGCCGGTGTGAATGGGCTTCATACCCCTACAGGAGCAGGGATGTGGACCAGACTTTCTCTCATGGCCACACTGCTGCATGAGAACAAGGTTTCTGCAGAAATCTCCAAAAGGGAGGCCAAGAATCAAAGAGTCCCAGCATGGGAATGTGTCCAGCAGCAAATACAAGCCCGAGGGAACAGACACTGAACCATGCCAGGCAATGGCTGGAATGCTCAGGGTTTCCCAAATATTTTCCTGTCCGCCATCATTATTCCATCAAGAGGAAAAAAAAAAAACGTTAAAAATACCACTAAAATGGTTTACACCAAGATCTACTCCCTGAACCAGGAGTAGAATCATGAATGCTTGAGCGGGTGGTAAGGAGTGGGAGTTTCTCACCTAACTGGAAATGGGGAGCAAACCACACATTAGTCACACTGGAGGGGTGGAAAGAACTCAAACAGGCCCAGAGAGGGAAAGCTACTTGTCTAAACTCATGCAGTAAGTTAACCCCAGAATCAAACTTCAAATTTAGGAGAAGGATCCAGTTTCCTTTTCCTTCCTTCTTTCCTTCCTTCCT